ACTGAGGTCACTTCGAGATAAAAACTATGAAATTCAACAACCTCAATAATAACACGATCAAGAAAATTTCCTAAAGTCATCTTGAACAACCCAGCCTGTGTTTTAGATAATTTCATAGAGCTACCTGATTGACATTAACGTTTGATATTTATATGGTTTTAAATACTGTTGTGTGTTTGTCTGAAACAGTTGGTAATTTACTGTAATACTAATTATTTTACAATCACAGAATTATCGTTTAATGTCAGTAATGTAAGTACTGTTCTATCTTGAAGCTTTATCAGTACTTAAAGACTAAATAATATCATGATCTAATATTAGGATATGTTAGAGGCAAACATTATGGAGATCTACACCCAAGTTTCATTCTACCTGACATCTGTCAACAAGATACATGTGTGACCCAAAGGAATAGATCTTAGTGTGAGTTGAGCCCACCTCGGTCTGCATCACAGTCGAAGATCTTATCATTGTGCTATCCAGGCCCAGGTAGCTGAACTCCTTTAAAAGTGATTTACCGTAGCCGTATATCAGAGTATTTTTAGTGACTATTTCATCATCCTCTTGAATGACGTACTGTTACCAGCTGATGTGTCTAATCCAAGTAAATCATGATTGATTAATGCACTCAGGTAAATAGATCTGCTATCATTTAACTTGATTCACAACTGCTTAATCATTGAGTATTGACTAATGTCATATTTGTTAGTCCTTTGATTTAATCGATTTCGATCGATGATGTTGCAACTTAATCGCTAGTCTAAGTGAACTGATACCATGTGCACTATGTTGAGATAGTAGGTGGACTAGATAAACATAGCATTGGTCATTATTCAACAATCAATGAACTGTAAGTACCTCCATCCTACAAGAGATCAGTTGAAGTCTGAATAGCTCAAAGAGAACATCTTATGCTATGAAACAGTATGATATGGATTCGAACCCACCAAGTAGTACCGGCTCCTTCAAACTTTTACGTGTGCATTGTTGATCGGTACCAACTAGTATTAGCACCATCCCAGTGTATTCTCATTATGTTGAAAACTACAAGTACTAATCACCTCAACTAAGTGATGTGATTTAAAGATAAGACAATATCATAAATATTGATTGAGATCATCAATCGATTGATGTTAGACCAACATTGAAAACCCGGAAGCACTGGATGGCCGTCTCATCCTATTGTGGGACTCCTCAACAGTGCGCATCCACGGCCTCGCCTCGCGGGATTCGAGCCCAGGGCCCTCAGTCTCGGGCGCAAACGCTCAACCTACTAGACCAATGAGCCGGCATCCAATGGTGTTAATGTCTAAGTTCAACCAATCCACGAAATTGTGCGACCATCTTCCATCGTACTGAAGTAGACACCTGTCTCTACTCGCACAGATTAGCTACCTCTCACTAGAACGCCGAGAATTCCCTCACGAAACTAGTCACTAGTGAACACTGATAATATAATAAATACACATTTATTCAATGTTAAACATAATAGTTGTGTATAAACAACTTTTACCTCTTTCAATCCGAAATTAGATCAAATGAATACAATCTTTAAATAGAAAAAATAATAACAAGTCTTTTTGAAAGAATTTTTCTTACATAAATGTTTGTATCTATACCATATAGTTCATTATTATATTACACTATAGATCATTATGTTTTTTAAAAATGATATCACTGACTTGATTTTCTTTTTTATTTATACAAATTATTATCCTATTTGTTTTAAGTACCTTATTTTATTTATTATCAATCTATCCTATTTGTGTAAGGCCACTGAATGTTTAAAATCCTTTTTCTTTATCTATATATTTTTCTTTCTTTTTTACTGAGAAAGTGATAAATAAAAATACATTCATTATATTTCATTACTTTTAAGGTTAAGATAGGGACATCTATTTTATTAAGGTATAAGTAACAAGTTTATATATTTACCTACTCAGTGAATTACATGCTTTTCAATAACAGAACAATATGCTTATTTATATTTCTCTTCATTAATCTCTCTCTGTGTGTGTTTATTTCTTGTTGCCTGGATAAAATATCATTCCGAAGAATAGTACTATCAACAACTTTTAAGTAACTAATAATACTAAATTCTGTATATAAATATCTTATTTACTTAATACTCTCATTAGTAGTAGTAGTGGTAGTAGCATTACTGTGAGTGAACAGGTTAATTAAGGACGAGAATGTTTTTTACATAAAGATGATTTAATTTTTCCTTTCTTTTTTGTTTCTTTTTTTTAGTACTTTTCTTCACTTGTTGTGTGTAATTTACTTTAAGTAGTTTTTTTCTAAAAAAAAAAAAGAAGAATAGAGTTCTTAATTAAGAAACCAATCGACCAGTTTTGTTTTATTTCTCTTTAATTATAAAGATATATATCTATTAATACACATATAATTAATTGGATAACCTGTCAATAGAGATAAATAAATATATGATGAATAGGTTCTCAATTGTTTTATTAAAGAACACGAAATTAATTATCAGAACAGTAATAATAATAATAATAATAATGGTAATAGTAATAGTAATATCACGATTATCTGATTTCTTTTAATAATACACATTACCAACGAGGGTTGAGAAATTATTTATTGATTTGTATGCAGTAGTATATCTTTCTCTGAAAATCATTTAACTCAAAAATGATCGATTTTAATGATAAATTTAATTTATATATCATTAGTGTTTGCTATAATAATAATAATAATAATAATAATAATAATAATAGAGTATCACTTTTTGGTGGTATGAAACGATATTTACATAGTTACTGGTTAAAATACCAAGATTTTCAACTAATCCGTTAAAAGTTTCAACTGTAATCCACTGCCTATATTGGGATCAACTAGTGAGCTATATTGAAGTGGAAAATCAGTTGGTGAGTTAGTGAATTTTCATCGACTGAGGTGACTAGAACATGTATTATTTGTGATCTTTACCTGTGTAGGACAAGGTGGGAAGGAAGCTAAGAGATGCAGAACTAAAACACGACATCAATTCATGAAATCTTTGATTAATTGGATCTATTTGAATGAGTTAATCCAAACTACTTGGTTCAGGTCCATGCGATTATCGTTAATGATGGTTAAAGATATTTGGTGATATGGTTTATAGTACAGATGCACTCATTCTTCATCATTCATTGAATCTCGAGTTGTTAAATCACCTTACACTTTTCATTTTGCAAATCCATTCTTTCTTCTCGAATGACCTCGTCCATGTCCAATGTCTTTTTATCACCGCTGACACTGTTATTATTTTTTTACTCTGGCATTAATCTTAGTAATTTCACACTGCTTTGCCGATATGGTGTAGTATATTGGACTGATGCATGTTTCTTATGACTAACTGACTTAATTAGAGTAGGAGAGTAGTTTCATAAATTAAGTATCAAACCTGGAAAATATGAACCTACACTTGCACTGACTGATCACTATACTGTAAGCAATATCACCATAAGTGAATCCTAAATAATATAACAGACAGTTACTTACTTACTTACGCCCGTTACTCCCAATGGAGCATAGGCCGCTGACCAGCATTCTCTAACCCACTCTGTCCTGGGCCTTCTTTTCTAATTCCATCCAATTCTTGTTCATTTTTCTCATGTCTATCTCCATTTCTCGGCGTAATATGTTCTTTGGTCTTTCTCTTTTCCTTTGACCTTCAGGATTCCATGTGAGGGCTTGTCTTGTGACGCAGTTGGGTGCTTTCCTCAATGTGTGTATGGTTATTGTATGTATGGTTATTGCTTCGGCAATGCTAAGAAGATGCAATATAATTGTCTTTGGAAGACTTCTACTTACCTTGTTGATGACTTTGAACGCAGAGTCTGTCTTGATGAAGTGACCTGTGTTCGATTATTGAACTTCTTATTGAGCCGTTTCCCCCGCTTCTTAGCCACGCCGGATAATGTTCTTGAATTCTTTTGGATAAAGTACGCATCGAACGACCTATATGCATGGCTCCACATGAGCAGGTAAATTGGTAAATGCACAGTGAGTTGGTCAGATGAGATAATTTATCCTTAAGATTATTAATGAACAATGATCGGCTGAAGAATATGGCTGAGAAGAACGTTCTTTTTAAAGGATCAGAAATCCTCCTCTTTAAAACGTATGTGGCCCTATCACACTTAGAGTCGGTGTTCACGTATAATGTTTTGTTTTCGACTGAAGTTATGTGTGTTATCGGCAGTTTCAGTTTCATGTTCTTGTCAGTGAATATCGAAGGACATCCGTCTTTGATAAGTATGACCTTCAAGAGGCCCAGTTCGTCATCTATGACCTCAGGACTACAAATTCTTTGTATTCGCGTAGCGAGTGATATTATTAAGTTTCTCTTTCGACTGATGGGGACCCAGCTGTGGAAACTTAATAGGTGGCCACTCCGCATGGGTTTCCTGTAGATAACAGAAGTTTATTATCATTATTATTGTAATTATTATCATCCTGAAAAATTAGTATATATATTTGCGATTGTACAACTTTGAAAATAAATTCGCCGAAAAGAGAACTCTTCGCTGAACTAATCTTTCTTATTTAAAAATAATTAATCAAACCTATTGGCACCTGTTATCAACTTTTAACCGTGGCTAACAGTGAAAACCAGTACATTGGAATACTGTTACATCCAGTTAACGTGTTCAGAGTATAAGACAAAACATACATCCTAGATTCCACTGTTAACTAAGACCCAAAATTTGATAAAACTTCTAACCAATGGTCAATAGTGAGACTTCCTGTAAGGTTATACATAATCTAACTGAGATTAATCAAATATCATCCATAGTATTAGTTGTAAACAATACCAAATGAATGGTTGTAATTGTTATCATATGTTGATGGATTAGATAGGTATGAAAATAAACAATATTTAGACACTGGATCTCCTTTATTCCACTATAATTGGATGAGCGTGATGTGCTTTAAATGGATGTTGTTTGATTTTTACTCATATGGACAAACAAACACAACAAACCATCCAATAAACTAACCTCGTTGTAAAGTTGACTTTGTTGCAATGATCTTCATCACTTATTTGTTATGATATATTCACTAACACATACACACATACATACATAGATGTGATCTAATATACAGCGTCATCAAATTTTACACAGGATACAGGCACACAAATCAAACTGTTTTCGTATTTAACTACCAATTCATTGACCTAATAATAGTAGTAGTAGTGGTAGTAATAGTAGACATTGTCATTTCATTTACCTGTAAGCATTGTGTTTGTGTGAGGGCAGGCAACAATTGTTATCATTATTATTGTCGTAATTATTTTATGAAAAGCTGAATACAACAGTTAATCCTACTGTTACGACCGAAAAACTATGGTGGCTAAAGATTTTATTGAACTTTTTGCAAAATTCAACTATGCTAATCGTGTTGCAGTTGAAGATTTCTCAGATCGATTGAGTTTATTCACGGTAGTTTTGTTCTTGATCGCTTGTATAATTGTATCGGCCAAACAATACTTTCTAAATTCAATCTCATGCTACATTCCTGTAAAACCGACTGGTGAAAATTATAATTCATATTTAACTGATTACTGTTGGGTTCATGGAACTATTCCATTGAGACCTGATGAACCGATGCCAACTACACCAAAAGAATGGGAACAATATGATCAATTAAGGCGTATAAGTATGTTCAACCTTATTGTGATAACTTTTTTTTCCTAAATACGTATGAATGAAAACAGTTAGTGAGTAATTTAATAATCATGGTTTTACAGTTTTCCTTTTTGTAAATTTCCTCTATAGATAAATGATGAAATAAACTAAACTTCCTCATTTTATTAATTTCTCAAAACAGTTGCTTTTTCGCAACCCTATTTTAATCCCAGATTAATATATATTTGAGGAACATTAAACCCCAAGCAGTATTCCGCTCATACTATTGGAAAATTAAAAAGAACGCATCACCTAGCTCCTGAGTTCATAAATTCATTGATTCGTAATAAAATGCAAACTTGATGAACAAGTGGATTAATTTCAACTTGGTTGACTTCATAGTTATGACTTATCAGAATATCCATCTCCACTCTCCATGTATTATCACTAACATGAATATCAAGGAGAAAAGTGGCTATTTTCTGTTGTAGAGCTGTGGAATATGATCACTATTATCTAATATATTATTGTGACTAGTGACTGAAGTTTAGGATTTCAACAAGACAATAAAAATGATGATTGACTTTAACTGACTGATAATTCTCAGCTACAATTCGTTTACTGAATTAACAGACTAACATACTAGAAATTTCAACTTTGACGTAGTTTTTAGTATAGTAGTCCAATCAAAGTCTTCAACAGCGTTTTATGGGTGTTAATTACTTAGCAGTTTTTGGTTGCATCTTGTGGTTGCTAGAAATAGGAATCAGTACATATGTTTCTTTCTGTGTGGGACTTATTAGCTGAATCTATCAGTATCAATATGTGTTTTTCATTAAAACTCTCTTAATTCATTTGTTGAATGATCAAAACTCTTGTAACCTAGTTGTTTGAAACTTAGTCTTCAGTAGGAAGGATGGTAGGTCAGTTCCAATATTTTTTCGTATAAATCTTTTCATTATATATCCTTGAACCACATTCTTAAATTAGTCTCTCTCACTATCATTATAACTACAATTACTCAAACTTGTTCGTTTCATCTCGTCACGGAGGGTCCACCTAGCAAAGTTGGGAAACCCTGATTCCAAACCAATGGTGCATATAGGCTCCAGCATCCGAAAGGAACAAATGGTGCATGAACCAATAGTTGGTTACCGGCTACCGTGGGACTATATCTCCTGAAGTTGCTCCACTGCCTTGTGGATCGGACTTTTAGGTCGAAGGCTCCAGGTGTGGTCCCCTGAGAAAACCACCTGCTTCGGTCTGGGCACCCGGACAGTATCACAGCCCACACACAAATCAAGTGACTTATGTGACGAATATCTATTTGGTGCCTCCTTGCACAATTGTTTATGTGAAATAATAATAATTATTGTCTGCATCCAATGGTTTATATTGCTAACTTCAACCAAATCCCGATATTGCGTTGCTATACTTCAATGACATTAATGGGTAACTAGTTCAGATCAGACATAAAATTGAATAACCCGCGTACAAACATTTAACCAAATGAAATATACGACTAACCAAGTCCTATATTTCCAATTGAGTGACTCAATTTTATCACTAACTAGTAAATGATGTACATATATATATTTCATTATTGATCAAAACTTACTGTACTTTAGCTAACTAAACTAGCCAATTGTTTAACACTGAATGACGATCATAATTTAAATATCACGATTCAATGTTTTCAATTATTGAACGCCAACTTCCAATTTTAAAGAAATTTACATAACATTGTTTTATTTATTTGTTTGTTTGCTTTAACCAAATAAAAAATTACACTTTTGAGTAATTACTCATGTTGCATCATCTAAGTACTTTTATTTTATTTAATCAGTACCTACTTTGCATATTCATCTTTCTCTGTATCACTGGAGTGTATATGTGATAATTTAATTAACTGTTTCGATACAATAATGTCTTTAATTTAGGTAATTAAACATAGCTAAAATAAGGTAGGTACAACAATAATTTTTCAGTTTATTAACCAAATATGAGTGGTTTTTAGTACCCAGTTGGTCAGACCGAAGTAGGCTAAATGGAGTTTGAATATGTAACCTGCTGATTAAAAACTAAATTACTTAAACACTAACCACATTACTATACTAACTAGTGTGTTTATGTGATCAGCTATATAAATGCCCTATTCTTACACAGGTTTTTAAATGTCTATGTAAACATTATTCATTATTTCACTGAAAATATAACACAGTAGTTGAGGAATACAAAAACTAAATCCTTGGTGAAACATTTCATTTATGATGCAATGTAAAAACTTAGATGTATATGTGTGCCGGGTTCTACATTCCTTATAACCGACTAACTGATACTTGCGTCAGGAATCTCAATGGTAACATATAGTTATTATCGTTCATATAATGTTCTATTAATTTTATTATTTGCCGATAAGTTCCCTAAGCATGTATGTATGTATAAGAGTAGGTTGGAAGAAAGCTAGAGGCGGCCAGACCAAAACATGGCACAAATCCATGAAGTCACTGACAAGTGAACTGAGCCATGTTGGTAGGTGTAAATTACCTGGTTGAGATCCGTGAGACAATGGCAACCGATGGTTAGAGACCTTCAATGACATGGCTTAAAATTGTTTGCAATGGTGATGGTGCATCCACTCCTTGTGTTCTCCCAAATTCTAATCTTCTGAATTCTTCATGTTCCCTATTTTTTTCTCCTTCCAAATTTATTTTACTGGATTATACTCATTGAATAACATCTCCAAACCCTAATGTTTCCGATTACTACTTATACTTTTACTACTTCTACCCGTACGGGATTTGAATGGACAATTGTATCTGTGTGTTAATATGGCATGGCAACTCGAACTGATGTATTTACGTACGAAGTTCTACGTTGTTGACTGACTGATTGATGTATGTGTATGTCAGCATTGCCTTATACAGTTCAATCAACAAAAACGAAAGATAACTTGATTTCTATTGACTAGATGGATTTGGCTAGCAGTACTCATGTAGCTACGGATGGATTGGTACGCGAGCTAAGTACGACACCATGTACACTTGTGAAGGTATTGTATGGTAGGTAGAATGATATGGCCCATTACGTATAAAGTAGTTATCATTTCATACAAATACTACATAATGATACAGCTAAATTGTAGAAATACATATCGAATGTATTTTAAGTTAAATTATGAAAATACAGCATAGCGGTAAAAATAAAATAATTTCTGATAAAAAAGACACCAATGGTGAAATCTATGAACACAGTACTTACTGTCATTATTATTGCAAGCACCATCCTTAGCATATCTTGATTCGATTTCCTGTTCCTCTGTGGTTTCTGTTATTAACTATTAATCACTGTGCTGATGTTGAACAATGACAACTAGTGTCGATATGCATTCATATAAAGTTTTACAATCACGTAGTTTTGTATTTCCCTATGTATTACACACTCTAGTGGAGGGTTGACTCCGTAGCTAAAGCGTAGAAATCTCAAGTACTATGTCCCAAATTAAAATCCCACCTCCGTTTAGGCAAAGAAATAATATCACTATCTCTCATATTTAGAGTACGGTTTGAAGACGAGTTCACAGATCTATGCCCGATGAATGAATCATAAAATCAATTTATTCACACTATTATTTCCTACTCCTATCAAGCTAGGTGCTAATCGTTAGTTTAAAATGATCTCAACTGTTGAAATTACTACAATCTCCACAAAACCCCTTCTGATATTAGAAAATTGTTAAAATTGGTGACTAATTGAATCAATATGAAGCTTTTAATAACCAGTTTTTGTTCAAATCTTTATGTACTTCTTAGCGTTGGCTAATTTCTGTTTAGGATTAATTTGTTAGATTTAATGTGAGGAAGGTCAACTGTAAATGACTCATTATTGGCAAACAATTTGTGGCCGAAATAAGAAAGGCTGAAAGATTGTTTGTAACGTATTTTTGATTGGTTTAAATGTTTTTGTACTGTGTATAGTTTATTTCCCTCTTTATAGTTGATTCTTGGACATCATTTATCAAAAATAGATTCATCTAGACAACTTAAGTAAGAACTTTCGTCTAAATTTGAACGAATAGTTTCACAATATTTGGGCGCCGAGTTAATTTGAGACATTAAAAAGAAGAATATATTTGTAAAATCTCAGCGAATGAATTTTAAGTAAATCCAACGTTTCGCCTGGCAATCTGGTCCAAGCTTTTTCAAGGAAAATATAATCAAACAACAAAATTATCGAATATAAATAGGTACATGGTTCTACGGTTTACTGTACACTGAATAAGTCATCCAATCGACGTGAAGGATTTCTTTATAGATAGGTATTTGTATTAATGTGTAAGAGACATGTTTATATGAAAAATAATAAAGGTCAAACAAATAAAATAAAAGTTCATTTGAAAATAATGAAGGGAAGAGAAAGAATAAGAAATCGTCATGTTATCCTAGGCCATAGAATGACTTAAGGATTATAAGGTAAATTCAAGGTTATGACAAATTGTTTTGTATGTGTTATGGAACCAATGGATCCAAACCGAATTAGGAATAACGGAATTCGAACCTCCGACGAGACAACGGAAAGTGGAGTGTTTTAAACACGAAGTCCCCTTCATGATCACTAATCATTGAGTATAAGTCGATGTTGTGATCCCTTATTCTTAGTGTTTTCTGAATTCGACAGATCGATTCGTACTATGACTTTAAACTGAGTGGTTTAACAGTACAGTATGATTTTTATAACCAACTCAGTTTCACAGATTAGTTACGGCCCAAATAGCTGAATGTTAACACCACTGAATCTAACGATCTTAGAGATGAGATTGAATATCACGCATGGAAATCGTCGGCACACCTTGATGATAAGTCTTAACTAGCACAAAACATAGTTTCAGGACTTCTAGCTAATTGCTTCCAACCACTTATCATAGATAACTCGGACTCCGATTCGACTTTACTAAATTTAATATAAACATTCGACTGGTACTCATATTAACTCCATATATTGCTCTAGACTGCAAAAATGGAATATGTATGA